TGCCATGATAGCCACTTAAAACTGACTGAACTATTGATAACAAGTTTGCAAGCTTTTTATTAAAGGTAAAAAACAACTAGAGACAGATGGACAAGAGTCAAGAATTAACTACATCCCAAACATCAGAGACAACTTGAACTGACTTGTCACAGAGGACTCTGAATCTCAAGCTGTGTTTACAAATTGTAATAGTGACTCATCTGTTAATTTTTCTAGGTATAGACTAGAGACAAAAATGGAGAGATTGCCATTGATAATCATGCATTACTACCACTCACAAAACACTCATATAACTCAAACATTAGTTTAACTATTCCACAATTTAAGAAGTCTAAAAGACTGTAAGGACAATGTCATATGCATAGCCATAAATTCGTGTCAATAGAAGAATAAAACAAACAGATTGTAAAACTTAATTTCACCCCCATAAAGAAATAAAGCAGACCATTTGTAAGACCATCAAGGTCAAAAGCCATAAACCATCTCTGCTTTCCTAAAATGAATTATAGTGGAATTCTGTTAAATCAATGATCTTTTAGGCACCTTGTGGTCTAAGAATGCATGAATTATAGGAGAACTATCACTGTTGTAGAGATAACAACCTAGCTCTAGTTGTGAAAATAAACATATGGCAAATGTTTATATATATGATGTAATAAATATGCATGAAGTAGGTAGAATAAAGGTTAGTTGAATACTGTATCGGGTGCACAGAATCTTTCTGTAGCCCAGTATGCTGTTTGCTTTTACCATATAATAAATTCCAATTTGAAAACTGATTAAATATCGAGACTCTGTTTCTCACAAATTGGGGAATATTTAGAGACTGTTTCTCACAGACAAGTAATATTGTAATTTGTTCTTTTTGAAAAGTGAAACCAACTCTTACAGGTTGGAATACATTTCATACTGCAGACGTATCGCATAAGTCTTAGCAAGAAATTATATGAATCTCTTCAACAGAATTATTTGTGACATACTACATGTGTTCTAATAACTTGTTTTCCTTTAGTGACTGCTACTTTGAAGCTTCTCTTGATATGCCTACTGTAGACATTCAGAAATTCTTACTCAAACTGGTGAGTAGACATTCCCATCATATTGTGCAAGCTAATTTAATCCATATTTGATACAATATCCTTTCAATTCTATCATGATGTAAATTATGAATAACTAAATTCAAGAAGTGAAATACCATTTGTACTAGTTTACAGCTCTTACAGCATGTTGCTAAAAGACTGACAAAACGTAGAATTAGATAATGTGCTAATAGACTAACATGACCCTAATTTTTACACAGGAGTAGAGTTTGCTTTATAAAATACTTCATTCCATACAGAATTTCTATGCCCTGTTCAAATCATGTTAAGAGTGGATATAAAGATAATTCTTCTAATGGGAAAATAGATGGAGGAGAATATGCATGCGCGTAAACAGATGCTGCATCAGAATGAATCTCATTTAGGTTTGTTAAGCCTTATATTCCTTATATTAATTCCTCTTCAAAACAGGTACAGTTGTTGAACATGACTACCAGAAATGACAGACTGAGAAGCACATGGTCAATAACTACTTAAAATCTAAAATGTGTGATTAAAAAGCAAAAGTATAATAAAAATTATAGCTATGTGTGAGTGAAGAATGACTGAGGTGACCACCTATTGAATGCCTGGAAAAAAGCTGTATGAGTGAAAAAAGCCGTGTAGACATATATGTGTGTGGACTTAAAAATACTTTACGTGGGTGTCAAGATTTTGAGGAAATGTGTTGTATGAACCTATCAGGCCATTCTAAATCTATATATAAAAAAGCATAGCAGACTTACAGACAGCAACTCAAAGGATAACACAAAACAAAGGAATTTTTGGCATTGATGGGTGGTTGGTTGAATGGATGAAGTCTTAGTGCCTGGGTCAAACAATTGGTAAAACTAAGCTTTTATTGCCTACTGGCGTTGGTAATAATTGTATTGCTACTACTGTGTTTGTTATCTTTTCTGCAAAGGATAACAAACAGAGGATAATAAATTCAACTTTTGTAGCACAAAAACAAAATAGGGGAAATTGTGGGAAGCGGCTAAACTGCAGACAGCTTAGGCCTTGAATTTGATCAGTTACAGTTGTGAGCTTGTAAAAGAATGTAAACACCAGGAAGGTGGGAGAGCAGAAAAGGAGGAAGAAAAACTGTAAATAACAGGTGTTGTTGCGAGATACACCAGTGCATGAAAGGATAATGTCCACCTATCAAAGGATAAGCCTGGACGCATGGACAGGACCCCATAAACAATGAAATATAACATATGTACACGTGGACAGAGAAAAAGACTATAAAACTAAGCCTGTTGTAAATAAAGTTGTTGTTGCCTGCCAACCAGCTGAGTGTTGTCCACCGCAACTGGTGAGCCCAATGTAATTGATTACGAAAGGACCATGGACCGAGAGCAGGGTGACAGAGTCCAGCGAAGCAAAAGCCAGTGGACCTTAGAGTCAGAGTCCAGTTGAATCTACTACAGACACCTTGGGAGAAGGTGAACCACTGGGGACATAATGGGGGTGAAAATTACTGCGGAAGAGAAGTAAATTGTGAGTATATTGACTAAAATACTAGAAAAATGCGGAATTAAGTACGATCATAGAAATCACAGAATCATAGAATTAACTGAGTATCTTTTTGTCCACCGCAGAAAGGTGATAAAGTAAGCCCCCAGACTGATTTAGGAAAGACCTCCCGAGGTGTAGCACACAGGTACGGGGAAATTCCAATGCACACACGTGTGTGCAGAAAGGGCACCACTTACATAAAGGGGGGAGGGACTGAAGGCCTCTAGCTGGGCAGTGCTGGCCACACCTGTCCAGATAGGTGTCACCTGCTAATTGTATAAAAAGCAGCTAGCTTGTGCTGGGAGTGAACTCAAGCTTCAAATGGAGGCCAATGTTGCCTTTTGTGGGGACACCGGCTATCTTGTGAGCCTGTCGATGCTCTGAGGATGCAGCTTCTGCTATGGGGAATTCTAAGCATTCTGGAATGGGTAAGACAACCTCGTAACACCTGCGTGAGTGGGGGGTTGTGCTGAGGGCTTATTTTTCCCTTCTCTTTCCTGTCTCTCGGCTTCTCGTTTTGTTGGCTACTTTTTTGTAATAAATATTGTATTGTTGAGCTTTCAGTGGAGTACTGGTTTCAGTTTTGGCATTTTCCCTGCTACACCCCCTCCATCAAGGGTGGGCAAGATCCTGGGGGAGGGACACACAACCAGGTCAGCTGACCCAAATTAACCAAAGGGGTATTCCATACCATATGATGTCAACTCAGATATAAAAGCTAAGACAAGGAGGAGAAAGGGGGGTATTCTTTTTTGCAATGTTTGCCTTGCAGAGGCACACTGCTATGTGTGTTGAAGCCCTGCTTCCTGGGAAGTAGCTGAACACCACTTGCTGATGGGAAGTAGAGAATAAACCTGTTTTTTCGCTTTGCTTGTGCACACACAAACTTTCACCTTTGCTTTAGTAGACTGCCTTATCTCAACCTGTGAGTCATTTTCCATCTTATTCTCTCTCCCCTGTCCAGCTGGGTAGAGGAGTGATAGAGCAACTTGGTGGAAACCTGGCGTCCAACCAAGGTCAACCCACCACAGCCATCTTTGTGTCCAATGTGTACACTGAGAAATACACTAAGAATATAAAATTTCGCACATAGAAGTTGTACCCTAAAAGAATTGTAGTGGTTTTCTGTGGTTGGGTTTTGGTAGTGGGGGGGGTGTTGGGGAGGGGCTACAGGGGTGGCTTCTGTTAGAAGGTGCTAGAAGCTTCCTCTGTCTGCTGGAGCCAAGGCCAGCTGTCTCCAAGATGGACTTCCTGCTGCTGACCAAGGCCAAGCCAATTAGGAGTATTAGTAACGCCTCTGTGATAACATATTTAAGAACAGAAAGTTATTGTGCAGTAAAAATTCCAGCCAGGGAAGAGTGGAGTGAGAACATGGGAACAACAAAGTAGACACTGAGGTCAGTCCAGAAGGAGGGGGAGGAGTGCTCCAGATGCTGGAGCTGAGGCCCCTGCAGCCTGTGGTGAAGACCATGGTGGAGCAGGCTGTCCCCCGCAGCCCATGGAGGAGGCCATGATGGAACCGGTGGATATCTGAAGGAGGCTGTGACCCCGTGAGAGGCCCAAGATGGAGCAGGGTCCTGCCAGAGATCCACACCCCTTGGAAAGCAGAGCCCATGGTGGAGTAGGTTTTTCAGGGTAGGACTTGTGGCCTCTGTGGGGGACCCACACTGGTACAGCTCATTTTTGAAGGACTGACCCCATGGAGAAGTGACCCACAGGACAGCAGTTTCATGAAGAACAGTTGCCCATGGGATGGACTCATTCTGGAGACATTTGTGAAAGACTGTCTCTCGTGGGAGGGACCCCATGGGAGCAGGGGAAGGACTCCTCTCTCCGAGCCGTGTCAGAAACAATAAATGACCGTAACCCCCATTCCCTGTCCCCCTGCACTGCTGGGGGGGGAGGAGAGAGAACAGGGAAGGAAGGAGGGGTGGGGGGAAGGTGTTTTTAAGATTATTTTACTTCTCCCTCTTTTGCTCTGACCCTGTTAGTAATAAATTCAATTAATATCCCCACTTTGAGTCTATTTTGCCCATGAAGGTGATCAGTAAGTGACCTCTCCCAGCTCTTATCTCAGCTTATGAATCCTTCGCTGTTTTTTTCTCTCTCCTCTGTCCAGTTGCAGAGGAGAGCGAGAGAGTGGCTTTAGTGGGTACCTGGCATTCAGACAGGGTCAACCCACTACAAGAAGCTATTAACTTCAACATAACTTATGGTTTATTCACAAATACCTTCTCAGAGACAATTTAAAAAAACTACAAAGTTCTGAAAATTAGTCACACACTTGTGCAATATTCTGGAGCTGTATCTCTTGGAGTAAAGGAGACTGAAGAGGCTTTGCTTTGAAATCTAACACATGCCTCTAACCAAGCCACGGCAAAATGAAAGATAAATACTTACCCTAGGGTTAAAGGCCAGCATCTGAGGATCATTAGGATCAACTACAGAAGGATATGGCTCAAAAATGACAACTTTCCTAGGTGACTCTAATGCAGACCGACACATAGATACTAACAGATCAACCACCTAGGGATAAAGAAAAATATTTATTTAATATATGTACTTTCATATTACATCATCCAGTCTGCTTTTTTTTTACACATTAGAGTAATACTATATTTCATCATTATCTATATTACTCAAGCTATGTTATCCACAGGACATAGTTTAGGACTGAAATTTTTCCATTGACCTCAACAGGCTTTGGGTACAGCCCTGTTACATTACTTCAGGTGCATAATTAGGACCGATATCTGGTCCTACATGTGTTATCATGTCCAATACATTGCTTGCAGTCCTGTTTTTTCTTGTGTACCTGTGGCAATTCCTGGATGAAATAATTTTCTAGGGAAATGAAGTTGTACTGAATCTGTGTATCATTGTGCCAGTGAAAAATGTTGAAAGAGGAAAGAATTGCGAATCTGTACTGCTGCCTGATGTTCTCCCAAAGATTGTAATCATGGAAATACTAGCAAACATTGCTTCTGCTAAAGTCAGAACAGTGCAGTGATTTGTCATTTACATGGCTCACACTGGGAGATCCTCTTCCATACTTCCTATTGTACAGAATTATGACATGGTTTTGAATATGTATGATTTCCAGGATTTCACTGTAATATCATGCGTGTAATGTATACACAGACATGTATTCACATATGTGCACATAGGCACATACACAACTTAGTAACAGATTTCTGCATAACTGTTTCAAAATTATAACTCAGAGGTTAAAAATAGACTACAGCAATTACAAAACTGAGAGAATGCAACTTTCTGGCAACTGTAAAACCTAAATCCAACTCATAATAAATTTCAAAATTGCTAGATAAAATCATAGTAGCAAATTAGCTCATTTCCCCCCAGTTTCTCTGTGCTTTCTGAAAACATTCCTGTGTGAAAACAGACTTTTCCATGAAAAAAGGAAAAGCTGAGATGAGTCATATTTATTAGGCATCCCTGATTCCTCCCACAATTCTGCATGAGTCAGATATCTCACAGCTCAAGCTCTTCTAGAAGTTATTAATATATTGCCTTTGTATCTGATGATTTAGAGTAAAAAAAAATTGATGTCCATTTAGAGAAGCAGAATGAAAATAAGAATCATGAAGAAAGGGAAAAGGAACTGCTCTGTAGTGTCATACTGTTGCCATTCTCCTCTGCTCCTTTAGCATGAATGGACAATTTTCTCTATCAGTTTAAAAATGTTCTGTTAGTTTGTTACTAAATATTTCTCATATATTGAAAAATGAAGTTGTTGAAATAATGATTCCTTCCTCCATAGTGCTCTGATTTCTTTCCAGTTTATAATACCTACAAACGTGATGAACATTTCAAAATAGGGCATCCACATAAGCATTTGCAAGGGAGACAAAGAGTCTGCAAGCCCAGCCAGGTCAGGCAACAGGCCTGCAACTGTGCAAATTACTATGAAATTGAGCCTGAGTTAATACATCCTGCTTCTCAGAAGCACTTCTTAGCCTCCATTTGCAAAACACTACTGAGTTCCCAAACCTCTTAATACAGTGACCCAAAGTTGTCTTGTTTTATGATGTCCACAATGGGATTTTTGTCTTAAAATTGGCATAGTTCTTCTTAGGACACAATCCCAAAGCCCTCCTTTAAAACAACTGTTGACTCCTATATTGTTTCTTACCATGATACCAGCATATTATTCTGACATGGGGGAAAACACACATAGATCAGGCTTAATTAAACCCTTGATTTCCCATGAGATCATTTTTTTGAACTGTTGGAATGCAGAGCAACTTAAACTGGGAGGTAAGTCTAATACAAACATTATAATACAAACTTGTTTATGTGTTCCTTGGTAATAGGAGGTGCTGTGGATCAAGTAAATGTTCTTATAGTTGTGCCTGAACTTCTCCTTAACAGTAGGTACTGAAGTACATAAATCAGGATTTAAATATTTTCAAGGAGGACGAGATGACACTTGTTGATGGCAATTATCTCTTATGGCATTAATCTCTCAGACAGCACCTCTCTCTCTGCAAAGACTCTCTACAGGGAATCTGAACTATCAACAAATCAGACAATTTTCAGGCATTTTGACTACATGACTAAAAAAAGGCAAGGTGACTTCAGGTTTGAAAGTTTTAAAATGCACAGTCTCTTATTATTAAGAAGGAACCATCAGAATATTGTGAGTGAAAAAGTAGGGATGTACACCTTAGGAAACTAGCTGAAAGCACAATAGAAAGTATAGGATGTGGTTTCTAATAATGGGAATCTCTATTTAGGCTCTTTACACAAAATGCTTTGGAGGAAGATTCATCTGATGAAATGTAGAGATTCACAATGTAAACTTTTCTACCTCTTACTAGTCAGTCTAGTCTCTCTTTATAATCAGTGGAGAAAATAACCACTGTGCCGATAGTCTATGCAGATTCCCACCATCCTAATGTCAAAAATAACTCAGATGAATCAAACCCTAAAAAGTGTTAAATTCTTTCTGCAAACAGAAACCGGAGCTCAACCAGGTAAGAGGTAGTGAGCTGGGTACAATGCTATCACTAGTGAGGCTTAGCAAAATTTAGTCATCTCAATCCAATGGGACAATTGACAAAATCTATCTAACACTTTTAAGTACCATTAAGGTTGAAATCAATAATCTTCAGCAAAGCTCTGTAAGATGTAGAGGTACTCTAGAGATCTAGAGCAAGCTCTGCATATGCCTGCAACAGTGATACCTACATAAAACACAGAGTGAGTGCAGACCAGGACCACGTCTACTGTCATCTATATTTAAAAAGAGAAATGAGAGATACTTTTTTGTACCTAAATACCACGTAAGTGCCTGCACTGAAAAAATAAAACTCTAGTTCCACAGAAACACATAGCTGAGGTCTATCAGAGGACTTCAGGCTGGGGAAGAGGTGGGACTTCATCAACACACCTCTACATTTCTTGCAAGTGTGCACAGATATCCTAATGTTTGGCATGATAGATGTTGCTAACTGTCCTTAGACATCAGATGAGTTGATGTTCAGATCCCACAATTATATACTCATGTGAAGAAGCTGGTGTACACTGATTCCAAGTTTCTTCCTCTGAGGGAGGATATGTCCATAGGTGGTATTTGGGCACTTAGCCGAATAGTTTATTTCCAGTGGCTAGACTCACTAGTGCTGGTTAAAATAAACTGAACTGAACATTTGGTCTTCCAAAAAACATTGTTTACTATGTAATGGCCAGTCTCTTCGCGAACGAAGAACCAGGGAAGGTCTTTACACCTTCCAGCCTGCGCATTGGATTTTTTAGGTGAGACACAGTGTGCGCGGAACTGAGCCCACCCTTTAATCCTGAGGTTCATCTGCCGGGGCCAAGCACGCTTGGACAGTGGTAGCGAGGTCCTCAGGACGTAGATGGATTGCCTTATGGGCTAACAAGCTATGTAAGTGCATAGTGAGTGACATATGTTTAGGAATTCAGAGGAATGCACTTTTCCATAAGATGTGTCAATTTTTAATTTAAGATCTTAAACATAATGTCTTTTAATTTTTTTATTTACTGAAGTCCTCTAACTATTGTAATCTAAGATTAAATGTGATTTGGAAGCAGTTTAAAATACATTGTTTTAAAGAACATAAAAAATTATGAAATAAAACAATGATAACTGAACTTGGAGTCAGGAAGCAAGCTTACATTAAATTCCTGATCTTTGAGAAAAGAGAAAAAAATCTATGTAGGAACATCAGTAAGGACTTTTCCACTGTTATTTGATGATCAAAACAACAGATGCTCAGTGGATAGCTGCATCCTAACACAATGAACAGGAAGTAGCTTATTAATTGCACGAGAGTAGTAATTGTTCATTAGGTGAAAATAAATGGGGATTATCTCCAAATGACAATAGCTGCCTTTATTAACAACCCAGGTGACCTAACTGAATACAACATATAAGGAAAACAGGGTTAATCTAATTACACAGAAGCAAAACAATGGAAGCACCTCATTAGTACTATTTGAAAATGCCATGCATAAAACAGTGTATTTACAGCTATAAGAGTGGACAAATAAATAATACTTACCCAAGAGTACTCATATGGGGAATACTAGTCAAAATAAATACTAAAAGAGATTGAGAAGACTGAGTATACTACAGAAAATCAGACATGTAATAAGCATTAGATAATTCTACCTGAGCCCCAGTTGCAATTGCATCAGCAGCTTCATTCATCACTCCTAATGTTTGGAAAGCAAATACACAGAGCTCCCGTTCACAAACAGTGGGCTACACAGAGAAAGTAAGGTAATTATATTTTTGTTTTAGTTTTACATTTTTAATTTTATCATGCAGTACCTACAACAAAAACCAAACACATTTAATGTGATTTTTTTTTGTTCAGATATTAACTAAAACATTAATTTCAAATTATGAATACGTGTCAATTAATGAGGAAGATATATTAGAAAACCATTTTAATAATCTGAAGAACAAGTGTTAAGAACTCTAATAAGTATTCACAGAGGCTACAGTCAAAGAAATCCAATCAGATTGCAAATTAGTAATAGTATCCAAATTTCCTTAACCTTGTCCTACCCATGCTGGAGCAGTTTGTGGAAGATAGAGCTATTTCATGTCTTCATCAATGACATAGACAAAGGGATCGAGTGCACTCTCAGCAAGTTTGCAGATGACACCAAGCTGAGTGGTGTGGTGACACACCTAAAAGATGGGGCCATCCAGGGGGACCTCATGAGGTTTAACAAGACCAAGTGCAAGGTGCTATACCTGGATCAGGGCAACTCCAGTATCAATCCAGGCTGGGGCATGAACAGCTCAAGACTAGCCCTGCCAAGAAGGACTTGGGGGTACTGGTGGATGAGAGGCTGGACATGAGCCAGCAATGTGCGGTGGCACCCAGAAATCCAATCATATCCTGGGCTGCATCAAAAAGCAGCATGGGCAGCATGTGAAAGGGGGATTCTGCCCCTCTACTCTGGTGAAACCTCACCTGCAGCACTGCATCCAGCTCTGGGGTCCTCAGCACAGGAAAGATGTGGACCTGTTGTAGCAAGTTCAGAGGAGGCCACGAAGATGATCAGAGGGATGAAGCACCTCTCCTATTAGGAAAGGCTGAGACAGTTGGGACTGTTCAACCTGGAGAAAAAAAGGCTCCTGGGTGACCTTATTGCGGCCTTTCAGTGCCTGAAGGGAATCTATGTGAAATTCAGAGAGGGACTTTTTAGAAGGCTGTGTAGTGACAGGACAAGGAGGGATGGTTTCAAACTGAAAGATAGTAGGTTTAGGTTAGATATTAGGAAGAAATTCTTTATTGTGAGGGTGGTGAGGCAGTGGCATAGGTTGTCCAGAGAAGTTGTGGCTGCCCCATCCCTGGAAGTGTCCAAGGCCAGGTTGGATGAGGCTTTGAGCAAGCTGCTCTAGTGGAAGGTGTCCCTGCCCATGGCAGGGGATTGGAATGAGATGATCTTTAAGGTCCCTTCCAGTCCAAACCATTCTGTGATTTTATGACGACTGTCTCCTGTGGGAGGGACCCCAAAGTGGAGGAGGGGAAGAGTGAGGAAGGAGTGGCAGACATAGCATGTGATGAACTGACTGCACCCCCATTCCCCACCCTCGTGCGCCGCTTGTGGGGGAGGAGGTAGAGAAGCTGGGAGCAAAGTTGAGCCTGGGAAGAAGGGAGGGATGGAAGGAAAATGTTTTTAAGATTTGGTTTTACTTCTCATTATCCTACTCTGACTTTTGATTGACAAGAAATTAAATTAATTTCTCTGAGTTGCATCTGGTTTGTCCACGATGGCATCTAGTGAGCGATCTCTCCCTGATGTTATCTCAACCCATGAGCCTTTCATCATATTTTCTCTCCCCTGTCCGGCTGAGGAGGGGGAGTGATACAACCGCTTTGAGGGCACCTGGCACCCAGCCAAGGTCAACCCACCACACTAATTTAACAATTTATTTATAAAGTTTAAGAAAATGTATTATATTTTTATATAATAAACACTGTATTTGAGAAGGCCATGTTATTTTATAAATAAAGGCACTTGTTCACTTTTTTCAGATATAAAATAATAATAAAAAAACCTTACTCTTGAACCATTTTTTGCCTATCTTTTTGAAAATTTAATTCACAATTGCCATCACAATGATTAAATAAAGCAATATAATTAAAATTCTGTATATTGAGTGAGAATTGAGTGTTCTGCCTTCATGAAGCAAAGAAAGCCAAAACAAAAAACACATCTTTAAGTAAAGAGAATAAGCATATCTTCATAATCTTCCTAACTGGTTACATCCCTTACAGTAACTCCACGCTTATTTACTGAAATCAACTTTTTAAAGGCTCAAGTAATGAATAATATAAAATGAATTGTTATAAGCATTCAAATTGAAGAAACAGTTGAAAATAATACAAGAAAGAAACATAAACTAAATCCTTTCTTAAAATTGATCCCAATAAACATAACCTTTTATTACAATGTTGAAAACAAAAATATTTTTTATACTATTTGTTTGAATCCGTATTAATAAATCCTAATTCACTGAAACTTGAAATGATCTTTGGTAGGCACTACTGAACTTTTATAACTAAACATTCTGAGCCTAGACACTACAATAATAACTAAAGCATTTGTAGTGATATGCTTTGACGTTCAAGCTAATGTCTTTAGGAAGACATGCAGAAATAAAAAAATTTATTGAGCTCACAAAGAAAATGTAGTTGAATACAGTTTCAGGTAACAGCTTTGTCAGTAATAAGCATACTGCTATATTTGTAGTCACTTGTTTCATTTGCATTTGTTGGGTTTCAAATATTCTAGACTTCAATAAATGTGAAATCTAATGCATTGACATATTCTCAGTTGCTTTACAAGAGCTATCATCTTTAAAGTCTAATAGACTAATTTGATTTATTTTATCTGCTATGTTATGTTACATTAGGCAGCATACAAAGCCTAACATGATCCAATTTGTTGTGCCATGGCACATTAGACAAAAACTATTTATTACTGTCATTGTTCTTAGGTTTTCCACATTCAGAAGGTAGTTAAATCACTTGCTGAGTTGGGAAGTATGGTGCCACTACCACCTTGACTAATATAATCAATAGTATACATGGAGTCCTTTGTATTCCAGAACAAGGAATCGCTCTGGAATAGCAGAGCAATCTAAGTTTAGTCATGCTTGCCGTGAAGAAAAGCATTAAGAAAATACTTACTGTTGTAATTTTGTTTATAACCTCAACAAAGTAAGTTACCCTGAGACTTAAAGATGGCAAATGGAACACAGGACTTGTCATCTTTGCTCTTATTTTTTTTCCTTTTTTTTTTCTGTTATGATCCCAGAAATGTCTGAGTATCTGTAAAAAGGAAGTTTGGAAAATGGTCATTGTACTTATGCTTGACATTTGAAAGGTCTTTTTTCTCTCAAGTGGACACTGGGGCTAAGATCTTAAGGCTGGAGAACTGTAGATATGAGAAGAAGCAAGACAGCAAAATTTGAGCTCTAAAGAGGAACAGATATTACTGTTAGGGTCTATAAAATTATTTTGCTTTTATGCATTTGATGAATTGTTATGCCCACTGAATATTTTATAGAATAAAGACTTCACAAGACAATGCTGATAAAGTAACATTTCAAGCAATGGAAAGAGTGATAGATCACTACATTTCCAAGTTACATCTGAGTATCCATTTCAATATTCAGACAATATACATACAGAAAATACCTTGAAATTGAACACAAAATCATTCAAGAGCTCCAAAAGAATTGCCAGAACCTCACATTCTAGTCAGTGTGATATAATATACAATAAATTCTGTGATAATAAAACCAAAGGATGTGCTTTGCTATCTTGGTCTACCTCCTTCAAAACACGAGAAGAAACCACCTTTCCCAATAATGGGAATGGGTTTTGAAACAGAGCAAGGATTTTTAGATGCTAGAATCCTGCTCTAAGGAGAGGTTCACAGATCTCACTTTGAGGAATGCTGCATTTAGGTTAAAATGACAGAGAGCATGTGTTATGAGATTAGTTAAGAGAGAGAAGGTACCAGGCTTCGAGAGGCCTGTGAGAGGCCTGCTTCCGCCTGGTATGCTGTATCCTAATGAAAGACAACAAAAAACTGGCCTAGTAGTCACAAATTAGATAGGATGGACATTTGGGGGGGTGAAGGGCTGAGTAAAGGGGTTTTTTGTAAGACTTTCACAGTCAGGAAGAGTTGAAAAGTTCATGACGATGGGGAACAGAGAAAATGACCCTCACGAGGCCGAAGAAACAGGAATGACCTCCAGGAATCTACCCAAAAGGATGACTCCACCTCAAACTCCACCTGAATCCCACCTAATATGAATATTATAACTAGATGATGTAATTTTAATAAATATTCATATAAAATATTGTAATCTCTCACTGTATAAATTACCCGACTTTTCACTGAGAACTTTGGAGCTAGTTTGTCCAGTGTGAGCTGGCTAGCACCCCAACGCTCAAAATAAATACCTTTGCTGCTTAAAGACCCAAAACTGTCTCTGAGCAGTTATTTTATGTTGGTTTTGGCATCAGTTTCACCAAAAACATTTCTATTTGAGAAGTAACATTTATTTCAAGAAACCACAAAGTTCTGCTGTACAAAATTTTAGAAATAATAAACACCATTTCCAGATTATTAACATTTTTTAAAGTGCTATTAAAAAATTTAAGGTATCTTTAGTCTGAATTTGTCTCCCTTGACTCACTACATCTTTAATGCATTTCTATGGTAGATTCTGTCTAATTTCAGAAATCATTAATTCCTTTATTGAAGTGGCACTGGTTAAAGAAAAAACACAAAAACAGCTCCCCCAAAAATTAAACTCCATACAATGTCTGCATTCTACATACTCTAACTAAAAGATGGAGCAAATACACAGTTTTGCATTGAATGAAAACATATGGGGTCTGCCAACCTAATGTGGAAAATAACTCAAACCCAGACACTAGTAGCCTGCCTTCATATATCCACCCTGTATGCCTTCTTACTCAAACTCCATCAATTTTAAGAGCACTTTTGGATCTTTTTCCCTGATTTTTTTTTCCAATTTAACCAAATCAGAAGTTTTTAACATAAATTTCCCACAAGTGCTCAGAGTGTTCCATGACATGTTGGTATGGTCATTTCACTGTCCTCTATTCCAGTCACTAGTTAGGTTCAAGTATCAAACTCATTTCTTTCCGTCAAAAATTAAAAGATTGGCTTACAACTAAGAAGCAAACATTTGGAGGGATT